AATCAAGCTTCAGCTCACACTAAAAACAGCAGGACCACGGCATACACCCCATCTTAATTCCTTGCTCCGTCTTGAGTGCAAGGTCATTGACCCACTCCTCATTCCGTATCACTCAGACTTCATGCCGCCTTTGTGTAGAAACACAAAATTTTCATTCCGTATTTTATTACTGAAATATGTTGTCCTACCCACCCCACCCCACAATAAAAATTTCACCCAACCTATCATCCTTTTCCTCATCCCTCTAAGCCAGCCCTGAGCAAGTGCTCCAGGATCCCCCACCCACTGGCCATTTTGGAGTGTGTCCATTGGGTAGCCATGTGGAAACCACCTAGGGCCTCTGTGGAGAAAATGGAGGGAGGCAGCAGAGCCTGAAGTGGGGCTTATTTGAGGGCTTTGGCCACTTGCTCGTAGGCCAGCTCAATCTCCTCATCATCTGGACAGGTAGAGGAGAATTCTTCCCGGGCATAAGCATTGCGCAAGTACCGATGCACTCCCCGCAACTGCTCCGGGATGGAGAATCCCCGGTACTTCTTACACACAACCTAGGGGTGGCCAGAGGAGAGGGAGCAAAATGTTAGCCCTGAATAACCACAATGGCTGTCATGCTGGTGGTCTTCCCCTTCTCCTACTGCTTACATGGTAAAATCCATCCTTCTTATCGAGGCATTCAAGTGCCCCCACTGTCTGACTTTTCTTTCTTCCTATTGATTCTAATCTCCCACATTAATCTTTTTATTCAATCATCTTTCTTAACCCCACACTGTCTTGCAATGTCTTCACCCTTCCTCTCTACTTACTGAAACTCTAGCCAATAACAGCCAACCCATTTCCAGACCACCCTATTTTGTGGTGCTACTTTTCTCCTCTTGATTTTCCCTATTGAGATATGATTTATATGCCATAAAATTCTAGTGTTGAATCTCCAGTGATTTTTGTCTCTATTTTTTTTGGCTTTGAATTATGTATTACTAGCTTTCATGTGAATGTTTTATCTTAGCTAGATTTCAAACACTTTGAGGGCAAGGACCAATCATACATCTTTGTATCTTTCAGTGCCTCATACATAGCAGATTCTCAATACATAGTTGTGTGGCAGACTGACATTGGACCCACGTGTCAAAAATTAAACCATAGCTTTGAGACTATGAGAGCAACATTGGAATGAGCAGTTTTCATCTTCCACAAAAGGAAGTGGAGACTGAAGCTATAAAGAGGTAAACCTTTGACTTCAGGAAAAGCCTGCTCTGTCTGATCTAGGGATTTGGCAGTGATACAGAGACAGAAAGAGCATTCTTGAAAGTAATACTGGGATGTTAAGTCTGTTTGCACCCACATCTTGTATCATGGAATTTAATCCTCTCAAGCAGTGGTCTTGCCAGCAATGACTGCCAAGAGGGACGGGGTGGGGTTTGCCATTGGTGGCAATCTATGGAAACCTAAGAAGAAGCCACCTTTGGAGTGGTTGTCATGGAAAGCCCATTTGGAAGTTCCTTGAAGAGCTATCCCAGGGGGCATCCTCTCCTCACATTGAGCACCCACCTGCACAATGTGGAGCTTTGGCAAGAGGTTACAGTCAGCCAAGGTGAGCTCATTGCCATCCAGGAACTTCCTCTGAGAGATGCCCTCATCCTCAGCACTGGTCTCATCCACTTCTTCTGGGAGTGGGGATATCAAGTAATTGTCCAAAACCTTCAGAGCTTTCAGTAGCCCCTTTTCCAGATCTGTGCAAGAGAACTGGTTAGAACATTGGTAATAAGCCCTAACTAGCGAGGTCCGTGGGGGGGTAGATAATAATGGGGAGGTCAATCCAAAATAATAACTAACACTGATATAGTTAGTTTCCTAAGTTACTCTAAGTTCTTTATATATAAAAACTCATTTAATTCTCATAACAACCTATGAAGTAGCTATTATCTTCATTTTATAAATCTGGAAATGGATGTATAGAAAGTGAAATGATTTGCCCAAGGTTACACACCTAGTTGGATTTGGACTCAGGTAGTGTGGATATAAAGAGCTCTGGTGTCATAGTAGATAAGGTATTTGGCTTCTAACCAGAAGGTCAGCAGTTCAAACCCACCAGCTCCTCAGAAGGAAGATGGGACAATCTGCTTCCATAAAGATTTACAGCCTCAGAAATTCAATGGGGGTCACTGTGATGGCAGTGAGTTTGGTTTAGTTATTTTTTGGTCTTGCTCTAAAGTCATTGTTCCTAAGTACAACCCTATTCTAGCAGAAAGCAGTCCAGTGGCCAACTAGTACCCAATGGGGCACAAGAGGCTAGGAAACCAATGAGAAGTTTAAAAGTCATAACTAGTAAGAATGCAGGGAAATATGAGGGCTAAGCAAAAATAAGAGAGGGGAAGAGGATTATCAGCATCTTCTCCATCTCCCTGATATCTGAACTTCTAGGTACCCTACTGCCTCTCAGTCCCCCTGCTCTCCCCAATTCCTCTTAGGACCCAGGCCTCCAACCCACAAGACTCACTATCATTGAGTGCTGGGTTTGAATTCTTGATGTAGGCAGAAAATTTGGCAAATACATCCAGCCCAGCTGTGTTGGACTCAGGGTTCAGAGCAGCCAGCTTGGGGTACCTGAGAACCAGTGGGAAAAACAGGGTAAGATGCCTTCCTGAGAGGAGCTCAGCTCCCTGCTGTAGCCTCATCACCATTTCCATCTTTCATTTCTTCACCCTCTCTCTTTCCCAGAATCTTCCAGCTCTCCCCCCACCCCATCCCATTCTGAGTGGCCCTTTACCTGGGAGGGCACAGCACAGCCTCCAGAAATTCCTCAATCTTGTTGGTGTCTGTGTGCACTTCGGTGCCATACAGCAGGAAGGGGAGCTGCCCTCCTGGGCACAGTTTCTGCACTGTCTCGGTCCGCCTGGAGGAAGATGCTAGGCATCAGGACAGGAAAAGGGGGCAGGGAGAACCAGAAAGGGGAGATGGAGGGATGTGGGAAGGAAAGAGGGCTCTGGGTGGAGGGGAAAAATGTTCCACATGGAAGGACACAGGTAGGTGAGTATTTGTGTGTGCACATGTGTGCACGAGGGGTATTTAAAGGAACAGAAGTGGGCCCACCTCTTGGTGTCAACAGTGGTGACGTTGAAGGTGACTCCCTTGAGCCAGAGCACCATGAACAGTCTCTGGGAGAAGGGGCAGTTCCCAATCTTGGCCCCATCACTGCCAGCCTGAAAAGCAACCCCCACTCCAAGGTTAGGCCTGGTGCACCCCATCCCCTTTCCCAAATCATTCTCCGCATCTCCTGCTTCCAACCCAATTGTTTTCTGCCTAGTCATGACATACACAGTATCCCACCACTAAAAGCTTCCCCCAGAATTCAGTTTTCCACCCTTGAACTGAGTCAAAGGGGAAATATTCTGCAAAGGCAGGATTCTGGTTCCTCAGAGAGTTGAGGTCAGGTAGGAGGAAGGCAGAAGGAATAGGTCTTAGAGAACTTGGACTCCAGAGAGAGAAGGGGTGTGGGACTTTGGTGAGGCCGAAGTTGCAGCTAATGGCCCAGATTCCCAGTTTCTCAATGGATTAGGACCTGAGAGCAGGACTTGAGGTGGAGCAGGGTTTGGAAGAAGTCAGAGTTCTTGTTCTTTGTACCTCCACTCAAGCTGTTTCTCCGTGGAGTGTCAAGGGGTCCTGAGCCTCACACTAGAGATGTGGAGGGACTTGCAAAGGGGGGCTGCTCTCTAATTGGCAAGTGGTGACCTCATCCCCTAAGGGACACCTCCCCTATGCTGAGGGTGATTCATCTCTCATATCTCTGGCCTCAGCAGCTTCCTTCCTGGCAAAGACGTGGGGGCAGGGACCTGTAAGGCTTCCGCCTGGGTAGCTAAGGCCACCTCCCTCTTCCCACTGACCCTGCTGTGGGGGTGAGGTCTCCTGGCATGAGGAATCAGTGGTCTGGCTCCCAATAATCCTCACACAGGACACAGGGCCAGAACCTCTTAGGCACTGCCTCACCCAGGAGTAAAAATAGCTCCTGAGGCAAATGTGAGAGTGAAGTGGGGACCACACCTAAGGCTGCTGGACCCAGACTCGGCTTGCCTCACTGGACAGAGAGAGAGGGAATAACTGCCTGAGAAATCCAAGCATAAAGGAGAGGGGGAAACAGGCAGGAACACACAAAGACAACGAGATGAACAAAAGGGGGAAAGTGGAGAGTAGGGAGACAGGAAAGGGAAGGTTGGGAGAATGAACAGACAGACGGAGACACAGACAGAGAAGAGGACATCAAAGGCAAAGAGAGACAGGGAAAGCCAGACAATGTGGGTGGGGTGGGGAAGGGAGTGGCTGACGGCCTCCTCCTCCTCCTCGGAGGGAGCAGGGCAGAAACCTGGAAGGCTGCTTCCTGTGGTTTGATACCCAAATGCCATGAGAACACCTCTCCTCGTCCACATCCACAGAGAGGTTCCTGGTTCTCATTCCCAAGCTCTTAAAAGCCCAACCCCAGCTCCCCTCCTCCTCCTGATCTCCCTCATCATGTACTCTTGTAGCTATAGCCAAACATCTATCTTCTTGCTGCCTCCCTGTCTCATGCTTCCCCAGGTCACTGGAATAAGTGCTATCATCCCATTATCTTTCGCCCTGCTTCTTGATCTTGCTCCCACACTTCTCTTTTTTTTTCCATCCCACAATTCTTCCCACTTTATTCCCTCCCACCCACCCACACCCACACCCCCATGGCCTCCCACAACACACCCTCTTCCTTGGAACCTCACTCCCCCACCTGCAACCC